AAAAAAAAAAAAAAAAAAAAAAAAAAAAAAAAAAAAAAAAAAAAAAAAAAAAAAAGACAAATTACAAAAGCCCAAAACCAAAATACACATCTCTGAAAAACTCTTAAGAGTACCAGCTCTGGATTAGGACATAATAGGATTGCTCAAAGCAAGTAATTAGGGTTAATTAATTTTTTTTTCCTTTCTTAAAAATAGTTGCATTTTGAATATAAGTTTTATTCTGTAAAATAGTTTCAAATTCTTACACATATGGCAAGGTTTGTGCAAAATTTCAAGTCAGGTACTTCAGAGCCTTTAGACATTAAACAGAACTCAATAAATACAAGTAATACAATAAAAGTTTAAAATATTAATTAAAATGCAAGTTGTGCAACCTCAACATAGGTGTTATGGACCCCATATTCCCAGAGGCTCCCCATTTATCAATTCGTAAGAGCCTGCACTGGAAGGTTCTGCACAAGTATCCTTTGCACTGCGTTCCAAGAATCTACCCGGTAATGTGTCTATTCAACACAATAAAAACATACCACAATCCTTTAACAAATGATGATGTTTAAGCGAGAAGACTCGTTTCACCCTGTGAAATCTGCCTAATGTCAGTGAACAGTGAAAACGGGATAAATAAAGAACAGAGCAACTTCAGATTACAGCAAAACGAAAACAACACAACCCACCCAACCCATCAGATTAAATAACATTAAATATGTCAGTCTTGAGATAATGATAAATACAAGGATTTTTGCATAGGCCTCTGGAATACAGAGTCAGAATTATGGCCAATAAAACATCTGCTAGTAAGTCTAACTTTCCACCACTCTGACCTAACGATTACTCAGAACCAAGAAGTTAAACAGAACAGCAATTTCATTGTCTAGTAACTCAAAGAAATGGAGGTAAGAAATAACTTCTGCCATCCTGAAATAGATAGTGCAGCATTCTGGCATTTGTGGTCACCACAGACTTCAGAATTTGCTTAATTACTAAGGTCGCAATACAATCTTTATTACAGACCTACGGGAAGATAGAACACTCTCAAGAGCAACTGCACAGCTCACAACATCAGCTGCAGAACGTAGCAGGGCGGAGTGTGCGAACCCTGAAAAAGAAGATGCTGTTTTGAACGTGGACTCTGGATTTGCAGGTCCAGCAGGCTCAAAGGCAGTCACGACACGGGGAGTGGTTGGCTGTATGGCATCGTTCGGTGAGATGTAGGTACGTCCTCAGTGCGTCTTTGGTTTAGGGAGGCGGGAATGCCGACTGGAGGGCACGCTGTCCCCAGAATGCAAACTGGTGGGGTGTGTCTGCACGTTTTCCTTTCTCTGTACCAGTGGCTTTGGGATGTTAGACTTCAAAGAGGTGTTCTGAGGCTCTAGAGACACTGGTGTGGATTTCTGACTGCTCACTTGCTTAGCTCTAACAAAGGACATAGTTGGCGGGCGAAGTTTAGACACTTTCTGACTCTGTTTACCCTTCAGGTTATCCTGACCAGATGTTGGCTGTAGCTGAGTTGAACTACTTAGTGGTAGAAGCTCACGTTCCTTGGAAGCAGCGGAATGATTTGCAGATCGTATGAGAACGGCCATTGTAGGAGGCACTAAAGCATTTGGGGGCTTTGCGATTCTTAAAGTCTTTGGCCGAGAAGCCTGGTTTGTGAACGAGGGCTGACCTTTCACAGGTAATTCAGTCTGCACCTCTCTGGCATCAGCTCGTGTAGAGGCCTGAAAACAGGGACGTGATGGCAATGTACCTTTATTACTCACCACCTCTCTAGGGTTTTCAGTGTTTTTATTTTTCAAATTGTCCAAATATGATGCATTTTCATAGTTTTCATTTTCTTTCACGTTTAACTGTAGGCTTGTTAAAGAGTTTACATCATTCAGGCTATTTGGGAGAGAGACATTTGCAGCATTTGGATTCTGATGATTGCTACTTTCATGCAGATCATGTTTAGGATATTCACTGTGGGCCTCGATATGTGGCATTTTTACTAGTTTTCCCTGGGCGAGGTCTGTGGAACTGGGAAGGCTGCTGGAAGGCTGTAGTACTTGAGGCTGTTAAAGAGAAAATAATACAAGAACGTATTAGGCCAAGAAGACACCAGATAACATTCTGAACCCAACGTGTGCTGACCGGATGCTTGGTAAGGGCTGTACATTTGGTTTTTTAAATCAAAACTTTGACTTCGGCAAAACAGGATGGTTCATGGGACACACACAAATGGGACTTGTAACTTAAGGGGAAAAAAAATATACCAGCACTGAAATAAACTACAACATAAAGACAAAAAAGGAAACCAATAAGCTTTAAAAAGAAACATGAGAAGGCATGGTTGATGGTTTCACCTAAATCTGCAGGACAGATCGCTGGTGCCGATCAGTTCTCACTGAAGTGCTCGAAACACCACCACGGCTATCAGGCTGTATCCATCTTTTAATTTCTGTTCAGGGCATACTGAAGTTAACTATCCCAACCCTTTTACTGCGCAGGCAGGAAAGGTGTTTAATGGACCACATGAATTTACAGGGCACTTTTCTTGCCTTACTGAGGCCAGAAAATTTGATGCAACTACGTGGTAATCAGGCTACTGACTAGGTTTGGGGAACTGTTTTATCTGGAATTGATTTCAAATGGGCTGATAAAGGAAAAGAGTACATGTGAAACTAGAGATCACATACTACTACACTGATAACCAAGGGACAAAGATAACTGAATGAAGATTTTACATTTGATCAGAAGTTACAATCTGATCAGACATGCATCAGACAAGAGCACTCCCAGTACCTTCTCTGGGTCATTTCTATTCTCCTTGCTCTTCCCTGTAAAAAGACTTAAAAGATCAATGTGTGCACTAACTTCACAATCACATTCTAGACCTGAAAACCTGGACAGAGATCTTGGAAGCATTATTAAAACTTCTGCAATTCATGGCAAAACCTATTAAAACTTAAACTACAGTTTAAGCAGGTTTGGATGATTTTCTCATTTTCTTTAAAAGGAGGGGAACGGAACTACTATAAAGTTGTCATCACTCAGCTACTTGAATTCTTAGCAATTGACAGATTGCATGTACACAGTAAAAAGACTTATTCTGGTTGTTTACTAGAGAAATAGAGTCAACAAAAAAGAAGCAATGTTTTGTGTTTGAGAGATTTGACTAAAAGCGTCACTTCAGTCACTTCCTCAAATTGTTCACAACTTCCAAATGAGGAAATCCAATTTTTTGTCCCGTCTTTTTAGCTCTTCTTAGAATCAGCAGCAAGAACGCGAAGACAGCTGTGCATTCCCCACTCCTGTTGCATTTCTAGGGTCGTAACACATCTCAGGATTCTTTAAACTTTTCATCTTTTCCCTGGCAGGATTTCTACTGACAACTGAATCCTCAAAACTCCTCACAAAAAATTTTTAATGGTAATGTGAGAAAAATCAAAGTTTCTCAATCTATTTTTTATTTACTAGAAGTGTTTCCCTTTAGAATATACTGGTTTTACCTGTAAGCAAAGGCAAAATCTAAGCTGAACCAGTGACACCAGTGAGAGGTATGTAAATGTAAATATCCTGAGCTGTCTAATCCCAATTTTTTTTGAAACATGGAGAAGATTAAAAGAAAAAAAAAAAAAAAAAAAGCAGCCTCCAAAATGGTGTCAAATGAGTACCAAAACATTATACCTTACATGACCCAAAACTAGCTTAACTTTATGAATCCTTCTTAACCACGTGATCCTAAATGAAGGAAGTACTCAACACAAGGAATAATTCAATATATTGAGTTAAAGCTTAAATGAAATTAATCCTGCAGATATTTTTGTTATTTTCCAGTGTTTATGTAATGGGTTTCAGGAGTTATTGTCCTTCCAGCCTAGGAGCTGACAGGCAGATGTTAGCCAAAATTATTTACCGATTTGAGATCTCATCTGTAAAAACAGAACTGCTAATAATGAAGGCAGAAACTAAAGCAATATATACCTGACTCCCATACAAATACTTAAATCAAATTTTCTAATTCTACTTGCATAAAAAATTAAAACACTTTTAGTAAAAACTTAAGTGTCAAATATGGAAATATAATTGTCAGAAACCCTTTTCCCCTCACCTAGAAAGCGTTTCTAAATGCCAGTCTTCAAAAACACAGACAAATATCTAATCTGAGCATTACAAATCCTAATTTTATATCAAATAATCCTAGTTATACTAATCAACAAAATGGAAAAAGGTATAAGTTACAGAAGAAACTAAACTTGTATGAAAGGCTGAGTTAAACACAAACACATCTGAAACAGAGCAAAGCAGCAAGCTTTCAATAATGTTATTTCAAGTTCTTTTGACAAATACTAGGTAGTATTGGAGCTTTTCCCTTTGGGCAATTTTGCACTTTACACATAAAAATAGTCAAACACATGTTTTACTCATTACCCTTCATAACCTAAACAAGTCTAAGCAGCTTAATACACAGAAAGTTAGCGATTCAAAGGTGGAAAACAGCTACATGCTCTGAATTATGACACTAAAGCTCTGGTATCATCTTTGTGAAGTTGTTTTAGAAACACTGGGGTTTAATTTTGTATTTCTACTCTAGCTCTGTCCAATCACCATTAGAGATTTTAATCTTTTCAAATTGCTACATACACATTCAAGATGACACTGAAAGCAGCAAAATGCCACTTGTACAATATGCAAGTAACAGTTCATGAGGTATCCTCACACTGACAACTGCACTACTGTCACCCACAGCTCATAGTTTTGTCTTCTACATGTTTTCCTTTTCTAAAGGAAGTCTTAGCAATTATGTTACTAGTAAAAAAAAAGAAGAAAAACAAAAAAACCAATAAACAATAAACAAACCCAAGCCAGCTGTAGGACTGGTACTTGGTGAATTCCATCACAAGAAGGAAAAGATAAAGAAGCATTCTACCTTCCAGGCATAGTATTTTATTTCATGGAACTCTTTTAAAAAGGGTTGCCATCTGCACGCTTTGACTGCACTTCTGGCACTATTTTTGGGGTGGGACAGATCCCATGACTGCCATGCTAACCAGACTTCTTCTTGTGTCCCACAAAGAAAACGTGCAGGGAGACAAACACCTGCATTCCTCTGGGATGCTCCTACCATACAAATTTGGACTTTAACATTTCAAGTACAATTTAACTGAAGAAAATTAGTTTTCCCCAGCCTGAAAGTCCATTACTGGAACAGGCTCCCCAAGGCAGCAGTCACAGCACCAAGCCTGCCAGAGTTCAAGAAGTGTTTGGATGACACTCTCAGGCACATGGTGTGACTCTTGGGGATGGTCCTGTGCAGGATTAAGGATTGATCCCTGTGGGTCCTTTCAAACTCAGCATATTCTGGGATTAGACAAAATGCTTTGTGCACGTGCTCCTTTCTGTACAAAGAAACTGACTTCTCTGAACTGGTGAGAGCCTCAAAACCTTGCAAATATTGATGCACTAATCAAAATTACTGAGTTACACTCCCTACCTCATTAGCTTAGGAGATTTTCCTATTACTTCTATCAAGTAAAAATGGCTGTTACATCATCCAGAGAAAAATTACATCCATGATGAGGATTGCAATTACTGCTCAGTTATCAAACTACTGAAATCGTATTAGCTTTGTGTTGGAAAACGGAAACAGGTATGTTGTACTCATAAAGAAGTTAAATCAACATGGTCATGACAGGGGTATTCATCCAATATCATTATTTGAAAATTCCCTTCAGTTTTGCTTTGCTTATCTTGGTCTGCAACTCAATTCCCTGTGCAACACCTCTGTAGAATGAAAAAAAGGCATTTTCTCCCTGCAGTATCTTGAGGAACAAGGGAAGTGATGCAATGAAAAATCTGAGAACTGCATGCACATCTCCCACAGACATGCATCATGCACAGGGCAAAGGAAAAACCCAACAGTGAGAATGCGTGAGGAGGAGACGGGAATAAATCTAAAGTTGTACTGTACCACGCTTTATCACAGAAGTAATGGACTAACTCCTCAACTCCTTGCCAATGGCATAATGGGAAAGCAGAGACAAGAAAAAGACAAGGACAATGATGTCAGAGGACCAAGACAAAACAATGAGCAATTGCCATGACACAACTGCAACTTTTCACCATTTCAATTGAAATTACCAGGTCCCCCCTCGGTTTTTAATCCTCCTTCAAGAAACAAAGGTAGCAATAGTGTTTAAGTAATGCAGTACAAAAAATACTTATAGCAGGACCTGCATGGAATACCTTTGCTCTTATAACTTCAAGTTCTTTAGCACAGTTCATCTCTTACACTCCAAATACTGTAACTAGAATTTGTGGGTATCATTACAACTGTAAACATCAGAAATACTTGCATCCACGCACATACATCGTAGATTTCTAACAGTAAAAAACAATGTCATAAGAACACTGCATTACATTTTTGGATCATGTTGCCCACGCTGTCATCTTTCTACCAACTCACAAGTTGGAAGAGACTCCCAGCTCCCAAAGTTTCTTTTTGGAGAGGGGCAGGGGGGAAGAGACACGAACAGTGCTACATAATTTTTTCATTTCCTCATCAGTTCTGACACCCCTCATCTCACTGCCTTGGCACAGAATAAGCTGTCATTTCACATGAAGGCCTGTGCAGGTACAACCCTACTGAAGGGCTGCACTGGAAAGCCTCTCATTTTCTACCTCTGGAAAACGTCAAGATTTCACACCTTAAATCTGAAGCATTTGCCAACACCTTAATTTTCAACCTTTTTTTTTCCCCCCTCCCTTTTACGTAGCTATATTATATGTGCAGTTCAACATTGTAAAATAGGATTCTGCAGTAAGGAGTATGACTTCAAAGAACGATACAAAACAACCCTAATGTGTTTTTTTTAAACCACCACTCATCACAGCATGAGAGTAGTAAAATAATCAGTATTATGGTAAAGCACTATTTTTTTCTGCATAGTCTGTATAGAAATCCCAACTTAGAAAGACTGTCTTTCTCAAAGAAAAAGTATCCAAAATAATATATCATTACATCGAGGCAGGTATTTCATCCATAATTACAGACACATTTGCAACAAGCACA